TCCAGAGCGTCTTGGTTCTTTAGTTGGGCCTGGCAGGGTGGAGGGAGGGAGAAAAAAAAGCCTTGGGGCAAAGACATGGGCCTGAGGGCACAGGCAGGAGGTAGGAGGTCTGCAGAAGACAGAAGGGGGACCTCAGGAGCTGCTCCAGGCCAGCAGGGCAGACTGGCCAGAGAGGGCACCCTGTCCCAGACTTCCCACTGCTCCTAAGTGGCCAGAAATCTGGGTTTTCATATGAAAGTTTCTAGTTCTTTTATATTACTAAATGACTTTAAATTTTTCAAAATACTTTATTATCCTGTATGATGAATTCTGAACCAGCTAAAAGAGGGTGCCACCCTAAGTGGCCTGCCATGTGCTGACTTAGGGCAGATGAGGAGAAGCCCTGTTATTCAAGCCTTTGTTGAGTTCTCCATGTGAATCTGTGAGTTCTCCTAGCAGGTCTGGTGTCCACCCAATCCCTTATCCTGATATGCATGTGCCCCATGATGTGAAGGGACACGCGGGCCAGTGGAAGGCTTCCCATAGCTGTCCTCGTCTCAGCCCATCTTCTCCCTGCCTGCCCTTGACTTCACTCCACCTAGGATGGTGGGACTTCCAGCACATCCTGAGCTCTTGCTCTTCCAGATCTTTCTTAAGGTTTCACCAATACTAAGACCACCTTGAGAGCAGCAACCCCGGCTCCCTCCCAGGTGAGCGTTTGGGCATGTTCCTGCATCTGTGACACTCTGTGAAGATGACAAGACACTTGAGAAACAGGACACAGAGGGGTGACTGAGCCTGAGAAGGAGAAGAGCAGCCAGGATGGTGTGGAGCATTCAAAGACAAGAGCATCCAACAAGGCCAGCCACCGGGAGGCCGTACAGCCTTGAGGCAGTGCCCAGTGGCCAGCAGTGCCCTCTGCAAGTCAGAGGACCTGGTCAGTAGCTGATGAACAAACCTATTCTTCATACGCTTGTCCAAGAAGTAGCTTGAGAGCACTTTCTGCTCTCAAGGAAGTGGCCAGGGAACTTCTCATTAGCTGTGGCCCGAGGCTGACACCAGCCACACTGGCCTGTGTGGGGCTCACCTACAGAAGATCAGCCTCAACTTCCCCAAGGCATGCAGAAGTCAAAGGTCACTGTGTGCAAGTCCCTCAGCCCCAAAGTCCACACGTAGGGGTCCTGGGTAGACTATGAAAATGACATAAAAACAGACATGTCTAGAACTTCTAAGTATTTTGAGGTAATGTGAAAATCACATACACTGGAACCCTGGATTCATGAATGTCCCTACTGGCAGTATTTTGTTACCCAAGTTCACAGAAATATGTTGGGAAGATACATTTGGATGGAAAAGACTTAAGAGGCTTAGTGATTTTTCTGGGTTTTTCATCACTGAAAGCTCATTATAATCCAGTTACTGTTCTCATTTTAAGGAGTACAATTAAGGAGGCCCAGAGAGGTCACCAGGCTGCTCAAGGTCACACAGTAGGTAAGAAGCAGAGCTGGGGTTTGAATCTACATGACTCGAATTGCAAAGTCTGCACTCTATCCATTTATCTCACGTCTTCTCTTAATTAAACTTTTGGATACAACATCTTTATTTTATTTTATGTGGTGCTGAGGATCAAACCCAGTGCCCCGTGCATGCCAGGTGAGCGCGTTACCGCTTGAGCCACATCCCCAGCCCTCAAAATTCTTTTTAAGATTGTCTCTTTCACCCTTCATAGAAAATCTAAATGCTGTTTCATCATAAAACCAAATATACCAATAAAAAAAACAGGAGAGGAATTGAAATAGTTATGAAGTGGATGTTAAAAGCTGATTATATTCAATGCAACTGTGTGTTGCTTCATCACTACATAAATACCCGAGGGAAAGGGTGGCACTCAGTAACAAAGACGTCCAGTGACAGTTTGTATTGGAAGACCTGCTGAGATCTTGCTGCTGCTAGCAGAGCATGGCTGGGACCTGCGGGATCACTGTTGGATGGGGGTGGAGTCCCCTTGCAGGCTACCTTCTGGCTCCTTGTTTCTGCCCTCCCTCCCGGCTGCTCCCTGGCTCCCCAGTGCACGCTGACCCTCCTCTAGGCTTCCTGGAGCCCTGGCTGGTGCTGTCTCTGTTCTTACTTTCTGACTTGTGAAGCCTGCCTTTGCCTGTTCGCCAGAGACCCTGCCTTCCACCTCCCAGAGGACCTTTTCCCACTGGCTGTGTGTTCTCAATGGCTTTTACCCCTTCTATGTGGCCTTTTGGTCCTGTGGGTCTAATGCTCACAACTGCCTCTTACCACTCACGTCCATAAGGCAGGCAATGTGCCCTTCTTGGCCCTGCCTCTAGATCACAGCCCCTGCACACTCACACCCCCTCACAAAGCCACCCTTCCTGAGGCCTCTGGTTCTTTGCACCTCATACAAGTGTACAGTTTGGGTACTCAGGATGGAAACCAGGGCCTCAAACATGCTAGGCTGGCACTCTACCCAGTTGTTTCATTCTATTTTGAGACAGAGTCTTGCGAGGTTGCTGAGTCTAGTTCTAGGGGAAGCGGAACGTGCAGTCCTCCTGCCCCAGCCTCCCGAGCTACTGGGATGGCCGGTGTGTGCACTGGCCCAGCTCAGATTCTTCCCTTTTCATGTTGTCCTGCTGATGAAGAGCCAACTGAAGCTCCCCTGTCACTTACCCCCATCCTGGTTCCCACTTATACAGGTGTGTAGCAGAGGCTGCTTGTCCCTGATAGTTCCCATCTTGCCTTTTCTACCAGGAGAATGCCTGCCCATGTGCCCACCATCCCCCACAGGCTGGCAGGGGCTGGGTTGCACAGAAGTCCTGCTGGGACCCCACTGCTCTGGCCTGTCAGTGGCAGCCAGGGTGGTTTCCAGGAGAGCAGATTCCATGGTGCAGTGTCCTCTTTTCTCTGCTCCTCCAGAGAAGGTAGACACTCATCTTGTCCTACCAACAGAGGTCACAGGCCCAAGGAGAAAGCTGTGGTGTTGGAGAGGAACCTGAGACCAGGGTCAGCTTCTCAACGAGGCTCTGTGGGTCTGGAGAGCTCCCCGGGGGAGCAGGGTTGGAGTACCCTCCCCTCTGAGGCCTCCCAGGTTGGCCAAGGCTCTGCCAGTGGTCACAGAAGGCAGCCCAGCAGAGCAAGGAGTTCAAGCCCCTGAGGGGTGCAGCCAACACCTCCGGGGGCTTGAGGGAGACCCAAGGACCCCTTCTTCCAGGCCTCGGCCATTTTAAGGTAGCACGCCTGGAGGCCCAGGTGTGCAGCAGAGAAGGGAGGACAGAGGAGAGGCACAGGCAGAGGCAGGTCTCACAGCTGCGGGCATGGGCCTGCTTCAACCGCTGCAGGAGTTCAGAATTTAATAACCAGATTAGACAAAAGTCACTGAACAGCAGTAAATTTTCCAATGGGACTCGAATTCCATTATTGGGCAAGATTAAGTTTTCTCTCCCTTGCCCTCTCCAGTGAGGGAAATGGGGTCCAGAGTTATTAGAGGAGATAAGCCTATTCATCTGCACCTCAATGAGCTAAGACTCCGCCATCAAACCAGCAAACATAAATCACAGCATTCCAGCTCTGTACTGGCTGGACCCCAGGAAACTTCTCTGCCTGCTTCTGCAGCTGGTGCCCACCCTTGGCTTCCACAAGCTGGGGAAGGAGTGGGGCTAAGAGGCCAGCAAGGGTCCCAACTTGATCCAGCACTCAAATTGGATGCTCTGGCTTTTCATGCCGCAACCTCCCCCCAGAGCCTTTTCACTGGGCAGGACCAAATGAATGAGGAAAGTCCTGCCACAGACAGCCAGTGCTTGCAGACCACACCTCAAGTCAATTCTGTTCTAATTCCTCAATCCAGCCATGGCTTGTTCTTCCAGGTTGCACCCCAAGGGTAACTTCTACAAGATTCCTCTTTTCTCCCCCAAATGATCAGAAGCTCTGGCCAAGCTCAAACGTGTGTAAATTGTCCTGTGTCTTCTTACTCGTGGAGCTGAGTGTGAGAGAGGCAGAGACGGCACACACCACCCACTGCTGGCGATGCTTACAGGCACCTGAAAGAATCCCAAGACAGCCCTGGTTGGCAATCACTGCCAGGGAGATCCCGATGGGCCCCTTCTCCATTTAGAAGTAGCTTTAAAATCTGATATATCATTCTATAATCGATTCTATCTCAGTCTGGATCTTACTATTTCTTACTATGTGTTAATATCGAGGCACTATTAGTACTATCTTAATATAATAGTCAATTCTATAGAGTAGGGAAAATGGGCTCAATTTTGGCATTATTAAAATAGGATAGGAAGTGAGAAGGAGATAGAAGAGGTGTGTTTTTTTTTTTTCCAAAAAATAATTGGAGGGGGCCAGAACAGAAATAGGAAGAAGGAAGAAGGTCTTAAATAAAAAGGTGTGTGTGGCCCCAGGTGGTGGTGAGATGAGCAGCGGGAAGTGCTGCTGGATGCTGGAGAATCATGCTCCCTATGAAGGGGAAGGGGTAAGGGGAGCTGGCACCACTGCCCAGAGCAGGGAGGAGGCACAGGGCACCAGTGTAGGATGGTTCAGACGTCCTCCCAGCCAACACTGCACACCACCTGCCCCATGTGGACCATGTTGCAACGGACACTTCACCCTAGATTCCAAGGGCTGCAGATTTAGGGATATTTTTCAACATTATTCTGCACATCCGTCGCCAGCCGGCAGCTGGAAACAGAAACCACGCCTCCCTGCCGCCCAGGATGTTAGCACTCAGCAACAGTGCAGCTCAGTCACCAGCTTCTGATAAGACTGATGAGGATTCATGGCCCTTCACTTGACTCTATTAACAGAGTCCTGAGGGAGGGCGGCAGAGAGTGACCACACCCCAGAAGAGAAGGCTCCACCTCCATGGCTCAGCCCTACACTCAAAGCCAAGGCAGGAAAGTGGAACATTGGACCATTCCGGGGGGCAGATGGAACATGGGGAGAATGTCACAATGCGTGATCCTGCTGACCAGTGGCTGTAGGAGGCTCCAGCCCCGCCCAGTGGTGTGCTGTCCCAGCTTTCTCTGCTCCCCACATTGTCTGAGTCTGGCAGTGTGACCCACGGATGGTGGCCTCTGCCTCGGGGTGCTGCAGGTCTCACTGAGGGCTGAGCCCCTGCAAAGGTGGCCCTGGGCTGGATTTCACAGGACCTGAAGGAAGTCTGCAGGCTGAGAGTGTCAGGTCGTGTGTGTAAGGAAGGCCTGCAATAGAGGAGCAGAGGCCAGAAAACGCACAGGCTGGTTTTAGAAAACAAACAGGGATCTCGCACAAGAGAAGGCACACCGGTGGATAGAAGGAAATGAGCCTGTATACAGATGGTCATGGGTCACAGGTGTGTACAGCCCCTGTCACAGACATTGTGCATTTATGATTTTTAATTCTGTAAATTACACCCTGTATCAGCTGAGAACCCCGAAGCGGATGTAGCTCAGTTCACCATTTGGGAGAAACACAGTAAAACTTGTGTCTTAAGAATCCAGCTTATGTGCTTCATCCCCCTAAGAGCCTAGTCCTCTGTTCCTCCCAGAGCACAGACCCAGGCAAGGGTGTGTGTGTCAGGCATCAGGAAACGTCAGCTCCCACGAGTGTGATGTGTGCTTTGACCCCTCTGTCTGGAGCTATAAAAGGCCAGTACTGACACCCAAATCCACCCAGTAGGCCCTCAGTGATGTGAGGTCCAGCACCATCACCCTGCCCCTGGGAAACAGGATTTGGAGCCAGGGAACAGGAGGAGTGGCTTGCATCAGGAGGGAACAGGGAGAGAGGAAGAAAGCTCATTAGAAGGCTGTAGGAGCTGTCAGCCATGAGAACAGGAGTGTGGTGGCATCAAAGAAAAGGATACAAAGCCTGCTGAATGTCCTAGTGCAGTGCCATAAGCCACAGTGCATCTCCTCCTCCTTAGGGAGGAGTGGCTAAGCACTGAGGGCACACATGGCGGCTCACAGGCACTCATGTGGCCACTAGGTGGTGCCGCACGCCCAGGAGAGCAGAGCTCCTTCTGCCTGGCTGGGTGAGGAAGAGGCTGTGTTCTGTGGGTACCCAGGGCCCCTCTTAGTTCTCCTCATTCACCATCTACACACATGCTCCAATCATCGGATGCTAGAACGGCATGGAGCGTGGGGGATACAACGCAAGACTGCCAGGCAGGGCCCATGCTCAGGACTCCACCAGGCAGGAAACTGCTGGAAACCTGTAAGATGCTTGATGGGGGACAGAGGGACCCAGACCAGGGTGGCGGACAGTAAAGTCTCACTTCTGTAATCCTGCAGCTTGCAGGGACAGCAGCCTGTAGCAAGGACACTGCAGGGTCCACTGAGCATCCCATTAAGGACAGGTAGAGACACAAGAGAGCACGCAGGGAGACCTGTCGCCATGCAGCGACTACAGCAAGGTGGCATCTTCATAAGGAGAACCTCTCCCAGCAATTTCACTAATCCAAGGGTAGAATTCATATTTCCTGAATGATCTGCGAATGCCTATTGGTTTAATTGGCCAGCATTTGTCTATGCCATCAATAGCTTCCATTGGTTAATCAAGTGACTGCATACTAACAAAACATGTGGCCTGCTATCACACGCCACCCACCAGAGATCCAGCCATTCAACAGTTACGAAAATGGCAGTGAGCCTGTGGTCTTGTGCCAGTGAACGATCATTGCAAACAACAGCTATAAGCAGCCTCCAATTCATGAGTTGACAGAGTTCTTCTCTGTTCCTGGGCTCTTGCCAAGCTCTGTGGGTCTGTGTGTGCATGTATGAGTGGTGTGTGTGCCCATGTGTTGGTGTGCAAGTGTGTGCACCTGTGTAAGTGTTCACACGCCCTGTGCTGCCCTCCACATGGTCTCCCATATGGTGGAGCAAAGCTCTCCCTGTGCACTGATGGAGGTTTAGAACAAGGGGAATGTTCTGAGGGGCCACCTATCCAGGCACTTAACTTCTGGTGGGTGTGCCTGGCTGGGCTGATTTGCACAGTGCCAGGACAGCTGCAGCTCACTCAAGTGCCCCATTTTTTAATCAAATCCGACAGCTTTCAAGGACACACAGTCTTGCCCCAAGCAGGTCAGGAAACTCCCCAGAAATCCACAGAATGGTTGCAGCTGTTGGGCAGATGGCCAGAGCTTGTTTTCTCAGTGTCCTGGACAAGCATGAAAGGGAGGGTCACCCCAGGGCCCGTGTGTTCTGAGGGGAGACAGTTCCCATCCTGAGGCTCCTCATTCATGGCTGGAATAACAACTGTACTAAACCCCCAGAGGCTCGGGCTTGCCCAGGCCTGCGATAGCAAGGGAAGAGTGGGCTGCAGGAAGCGGAGCACATGCACCTCCCCCTGGGGCAGAGGGCAGAGCTACGTGGTGGTGGTGGCAAGAGCTCAGTACACACTTGAAGTCAATTAACAAAGGAAAAAAAACACTTCTGCAGTTCATTTCCTACATTAAAATCAGTCATGACATAGCCAGGTTCAGTAAATAAATGGGCTGAACGTCGCAGGGTGTCCTGAGTCCTCAGAGGGTGATGTCACAGGAGGAGATGGATGAACTGGAAGAAGCTGAACAGCATCTGTCCACTGTCTTCAGCCCCTTTCCTCCCCTGAATCACCAGGAAGCTCTCAAGAAGAATCAGGCAGCCCTAGGGATTCAGGTCCAGCCTACCTGGACTGAGTGCAACCTCCCTGGAGACTCCAATGCAGCAGGATGAAAAGCCACCAGCCCTCTGTCATTACAGCAGGGTCACATGGGAGAAGCTTCTCTCTAAGGTCAGCTGGAGGCTCTGGTCATTGTTCACACAGTGGTGACGGCAGCAGGAAGATGGGGGAGACAGAGATGTTCTCTTGTGTTTTAAGTTGAATTTATTTTTAACTCATACATAAAAACAAAAAGTGGTGCATAACAACGGGAAACACCATGTTTTGAAACTCATATGCACCCTGTAATGTTTGAACCAGGTTAAACTTTAATCTCCTCAAGCACTCATTGTTGCTTTATGGGGAAAACGTTCAATGTACTTTCTTCTAGCTTTTCAAAATGGACCATTCATTATTGTTATCTGCAGTCACCCTACTGTGCCAAACAGACCAGAGCTTCCTGCTCCTGAGTGACTAGTGTAGTGCCCACAGATCAACCTGCCCCAGCCTCCCCTCTCTCCCAGCCTCCCCACTCTCCTGGCCTCCCTGACTCTTCCCAGCTTCTGGAAACCACCACTCTGGTCTCCATTACTGTGAGAGCAACTGTTTCATGTTCCACATGACGGTAGCATGTGGTGCTTGTCTTTCTGGGCCTTGCTTATTTCACTTAACGTCCTCCACTTCCATCCACTGGCTGCAAATGACAAGACTTGGTTCTTTTTGTGGCCAAGTAACAAACATTCCATTGTGTGCACCACATTGTCCACACCCTTCATGAACACCTGGGCTGTCCCCGTGTCTTGGTTGCTGTGACTAGGAATGCAGTGAAACGGAGGCGCTGGCTGGCTTCGTTTCCTTCAGGTGTGCACCCAGGGGTGGGACTGCTGGGTCATAAGGCAGCCCATTCACAGTCTTTTGAGGAATTTCCAGAGCTTGGTCCATAATGGCTAAACTGCTTTTTTCTAAGTCATTCCCATTACCTGCAAACAGCCATAGTGAGGATAAATAATTCCACAGCTAACCCAGGCAGCTCATTTGCTGGAAGGGCTGATACTGCCCTTCTAAGGGCATCTGCCCAGCAGATCCACAGAGTACTGGCTGGACCATGCCTGGGCCACCTCCCATGGGGTCAGGTCCTCATTGATGCCTGTGAGGACTGACACTCTGTCCTTCCTCCTTGAAGCTGAGGGTCCTGGGCTCAGGTTGTGAGGCCATTTGCCTGACTCACAGAGCTGGGGAAAGGCAGAAAGAAGAACCAGACCCACGCCAAGCTTTCCGTTTTCAGGAATGTTCTTGATGTTTTTATTTATGCCCTTCCTGGGATATTCGTTTCTTGACAACATCCTTTCCATTGTGGGCAGCCTGAAAGCTGTAAAAGTCATGTTTTCCTGAGCCCAAGGCTGCTTCTCCTCATCTCCTATT